GCTTTTGTCTGATCTGTTATAAGCACACTCGTTTTTTGTATATGTACCTATCGACTAGTTATTTTTTTTTTATATACAAAAAAAATAAGGGACGTTACGGATGTAACGATAATCCAATGCAGTATACTTGTTATCGTGGTCTTATTGATCTCAATTTCAAGACTATTTTAAGGTACGCAACATTATGATTGTGGATACTAAGCAATTATTTTACATTATATTTGCAACATCAGCGGTTTTTTTATATTTTAGGAAAGATAGTGTAAAAGAACTAAATCTAGTAAAATAAAACCGGTTAAAGTTCTTACATCATTATTCACCTTATTACCGGGAATAGGATACTTTCACTGAAGAATGAAGTAGTCTATTAGCTCTGAACAGTCGATACTAGGCGCATCTCTTATAGGGTTGTCAACTTTGCTATTTTATATAATAGTGTACCTACATTTGCCTGTATTGGTATTGTTGACTAAATAAACTATATATATTTCAGCTGCGTACAATTTTATTGGTCTAATTTTCTAGTGTATACACTGTTGTTTATCTATACCCCCATGTTTTTGCTATTTTAAAAAAAGTATATTTTATTGAAGAAATGTTGGCAACCCTGAGTGAGAACTATGTACACGTTTTTTTTTTGTAAATAATAGCGTTATATCGGTTTTTGTAAAAATAAGTGCTTTGTGTTATAATTGAAAAAGTGAATATTTCATTTAAATAAAAAGATATGTTAATCGCTGCATTATTAATGTTACCGATATTGTATATCTTGGGTACGTGTTCTTTTACCTACCTATCCTCATTAGTATCTGAACACATATAATTAACAGAAATAAAATACTAAAATTGACAAAAGTAAAATAAGTCTGTCTTATAAGCGAAGATGGATCCGGTATATAAAAATATTAAATATAATTTTCAGCATCTAAAAGCTTTTAGGTAAATAGTTGTCGCGCTTTTCAATGCTAAAAAAATATATTTAAAAACGAAATCAATAAAACAGATATGATAGTTTCAATTACATAAATTTGCAATTCAAAGTGGTTCATATTTATAGAGTTATAGCTTATCTACTTAGTGATTTTCGGAAATTGGAACTTTCGGTTTGATACATCCAGAGCAGTCTACCCGGGGATGCAAGAGGTGCGGTGAATACATTTTTATATTTATGAAGTTCATTATTTTAGAAGATCAATAAAGAACAATAATATATCAAACCGGAAGTTCAATATTCCAAGAATCACCCACCTACTTCACAACTAACGAAAACAAAAGTGTTGATCAAATTCACTCCTGGTTATGGTTGTTTTGTTTTTCCTTGCATGGTAAAGTCGCATGTTCAAATCCTGTCTGAGGCGAATTTATTCAACACTTCACATATCATGCCAACTATTATCATATATTTATTTGCTAAACCATAAATATACTATATCAAAATATAATTATATTTAACAGATACGAATATTGCATGTTATCAAGTATTTAACGTATTCTGTTGTACGCAAGGCCGCGCGTCACGCTACACACTACCATCGTAAACGGTTGTTATTAGAGAAGTTCTATGCGAAGCGCGGTCGGTACAAAGTCCACAATGTATATAGTCTGACGTGCAGCCGTGTGTACATATTTAAAATCACATAATCTTTTAAGGCCGGCTTACGTTTATATAAAACTATGTATATAACTGTCTATATACGGCAATGCCGTGTATCTTTGTTTTATTGAATTCGTCAATATAATTATTTATATTAAATACCTAGTTACTTGTTTATTCTTTCACGTATAGATACCTATTTATTCCGAATCAATTACAAATCCATATTTCATTTATCACATTAGCTAATTTGAAAAGTGAATTGAATTTAGTTAGCCAAAGTCTAGGGCAGCGAATATACAAAAGTTTTGATTTATATTTTTTACGCTTATTACCACATTTAGCATTTGTTTCCATAAATATGGACTGTTTATTTTTTATTAAGAATTTAGCAATGCGAAGTTACTAGTCAGTTTATATTCGTAATCGAAAAGGAAAATTTCATGGCACTGTACCCAAATCCATCTCGTAGAACTGATATAAGAGAGAAAAAAAGACAAGTCAAACAATAATAGCTTTGCTTAAAGGTTTGTGTAAACCTGACGGAAAAATCTATCGACGATCGACTTGCGGAAGTATACATAAGTTCACAACTAATCTTCATACTTGTCGGATCTGACGTTCGGCGGCCGAATTACGCCAGACGTGTTCCGTCATATATGCATTAACCCTTAATTGTCTTATTTTACGCAAATATGCTGTTCTGACCCTTATCGGTTAAGGGCGGATTAGATAATTTATCTTTTCATTTCATATTTTTTACCAACCTTTCCGTTTCCATATATGAAGTACCGTAGGCAGCTATTATTTTCTAATGTATTGATAATGTATTAATTGTATAGAATGGAATTTGTTCACTTTACTATAACTGAAGTGCCCAACGATCATTGTCTGTTCTAAGTTTTCCTCCGGCCCCAAACCTTTCCTTTTTTTGTTATAGTTTTTATGCTTAATGGGAGCTTTTACATGTCATCTTTCTTATCTATAAAACACATTAGTCGGATAGTTTCGTATAATACCTATTCACTATAAATTATTAGACAAAATTAAACATTAGCTAAAGTGTCACTTAGTCGTCTCATTCGGCTAATAACGGCCAAATCAATTAGGGTGGGCGATCTTGAACGTAGTAATACGTTACAACAAATCAAAATATACAAAAATAGAACTGAATATCATAAAATTCACATAATACATATTACAAGAAATAACCACCATGGTACATAGGCGTAACGGAAATAATATTTATGTCGTCACTGCTGCTGAAGATTGTCTACTCCCGTAAGAGAAATCAAAATAAATGCAATCTTAATCGGCGTGATGTCTTAAATTATTGAACTTGTTTCATCTTCTAAACGTGACGGGAATTAATTATCTTAAACTGCTTTAGAATATTTGAACGGCAATTAGATTTTTTTCATTAGTTGTACTCGAACACAGCCTGCCTATGTAATTTTATAAAAATATACTTACCTCTATCCCGCCTTAAATTAATAATCGTGTAATATACCTACCTCATGTGTCATGTGAAAATAATCATGTGAGATCACATATACGTTAACAACTGATGTAAAATGTTCCATCCCTCTTATTAAGCCATAAGTAGTTTTGGGGATTATTGTAAATAAACTTCATGAAACAAGATTTGTATATAAAGAAACTATAGACAGGAGTTGAAAATTCCTCCATATCAAATATTTAGTGATATCGAATAATATTACGTACTTTGCGTGAATTTTATAAAACATTGAACAAAGAACTATATTTAAACATTGGGTTTTGCTGACGGAATTTTTCCAGTCTTATACTCGTCGATGAGAAAATTTTTGCTATTAGAATTTGTTATAAATTAAGAAATCATGGTCGTATCCAGATTTTCGTACCAGGGTGGGGCATATAATTTCTGAATGCCAAGGGTCAGGGTGTTATGCTATTTGCCGGTTTTTATTGAATAAAAGAATATTGAAATTTTATCACTTCCTATAGAGCGTCAAGGCGAGGTTGAGGATAAGGTTAGCATCCCGTTTTGCCCCACCGTGGGTACGCCTATCAAAGGAAACGATAAATCTGGTAATGCGATTTGAACTGGCGCAATAGTAACAGTAGGTGTTTCTCCCTCCTCTTATGACTCAAGGATCTGAATCCTATGGCAGTCAAACATCAGTTAAATTATAAATATAAATTAGCAGTCTACGACGACATTATCAAAATATTATGTCTAACTAACGTTTAGGTACAATTTTATTTCAGTTAACAAAAATTCAACGGAATTATATAATACAAAAGTACTCTAACTCGAACACCAGTCGGCCTATGTATGATTATGAAAAATAATTTGTTCTAATGGTAGCAGACTCGTGTACGGATGATTCTGTAGGTACTGTTAGAAAAAATATCAGAATCCCCTGTATTAAACTTTGTCATTTAAAATAGACTTTGTTATTGATCGTGATAACGGCCTCCGTAAAAACATAAAAATGTGTAAATATTGCAATTGTGTTACGTGTAGCAATAGATGTATGAGGTACGATAAAAATCAGCAAACGACAGACGCTGAAGCCAAATTAATTTATCCCGTAATGCATCCTTGAGTACAGAACCCTTAAAAGTAAAAGAACCTGCATAAAGTAGTTACACATTACTGTCTTTCGTAGAGACATAGTAATAAGCTGAATAAACAAGATAAGATTTTATGTAGAAATTTGATTTCATTCAAGATATGCGGTTTAATTATATAAATAATTCCGAAAAACATTCTTAGACAAAATATTCTTTAGTTCCTAAATACCCGTCATTATAGTGAAATAATATTTTTTATAAAATAAAATTGTAATTAATAGTGTGAAATGCGAAAGTTTATCCATATAAAATTACATAACAACATAGATTCACGTCATGTTTGTTATTGATTCACGTTAAAACTACTGTAGGGATTTAGGTGAAATTTGATATACGGATAATCTTAAGCTTGTATTAATATATATAGGCTTACTTATTATATCACTAAACAGTTCCCTAGGGATCACGCGGGTAAAGCCGCTTGCAGAAAGCTAGTAAAGTACCTATAAAATGACGAAGTAATCATCATTTAGTCATTTTTATTTTCATAATTACATTTTCGCAGTTCACTGCTTGGAACCTCTGGTTATACAGTTTTGAATTTACTTACGTAATTGTGATGTTAAACGCTTTAGAATCATAAGATGGCGCTCTATTGAAGTGGAGCCCGCTCCATAAACGGAGTTCTCCGCTGCATTTCTTTTCAATGGAGTATCATTCTTACTTATACTTAATATCTATATATTTATTTAAATTATTACCTAATTTCGTTAATAAATAATTCTGAAATATTAACTTCAGAATTGTAAGTATTTATTTAAACTTATTTTTTCATTTCTTGTTACAGCTATGCTGCTTTTGGAGAGTGATATGTTTATGGATGCTCTAAATGCCTCTGCAACTAATAAGAAAGAACCCAAGAAAAGAAAACGACGAACAAGTGGATCTAAAGATGGAAATGCTCCTAGCGACGGTTCACCTCCGCACACTCCTTCAAGCATTGTTACAAGTCCAAATAGCGAAAGCAAATCTGTTCCACCACGATTTTATCAAGACACATTAGATACTGAAGAAAATAAAGAAAAACCTGTACAAGGTCCTGAAATAAAAGATAATACTGATGCTGAAGTGCCTAAAAATGAACCCGAAGAGTCGATGGACACTACAGAGCCCCACACTTTAACAATAAATGGTCTCAAGGGTGTTTTATGTTATCACAAAAGAAAAGGACCAAAAAAGAGTATAAAATGGAAACCTGACTCTGAGTTGGAAGAGATTCAATATTTCGAACTGGATGAAACGGAGAGAGTTAATGTTACCAAGACATTTACCGACATGAAGTATTTAGAAAGAATAAATGAAAGAGAAGCCTTTCAAAAAGCTAGAAATCTTAGTAATGATGATATCATGGAAGAAAAAACAATTTGGAGACCTCTTATTCCTGTAGATGTAGATGGTCAAATACAGGTGGAGCACGGCAAAAATAGTAAAGAAAAAGATATTCAAGCTCTTAGGCAAAAGGGAACGTTACAACCACTTTATTTCCATAAATCTATGATACCAGACTCACCTTTTGAACCTGATCCAGAAACCCATACTTATTCTGAACCTACAATTATACCACTAGAAGATATTACAGGTAATCAGGATAACATAAGTGATTTTAGAAATATGCCTTGGCCGGAACCAAAAGGAACTGCTCCACCTTCTTCTAGTAACATCAATATGCCTACTATGTTTCCGCCTCCGATTGCGCAATTTCCGAATGGATTTCCCAATCCACAATTTTCTGGAGTTGGAGGATTTCAAGGGCCTAATATGGTCCCCCCTGATTGGCAAAATGGTGTTCCACCTCATCTTATCAACAATGGTATACCTGGACCTATGAACCCAGCACCACTAACTCCTGGGGCTATACCCCCAGGAAATGTTCCTCCAGGTATGATGATGCCATCTGAAACTATGATGATGACCCCTGATATGTTTGGTGGTCCTAATGGGATGTTTCCAGTGCCACCCGAAGGTTTTAATATGCAACAAAATATGTTTCCAATGGAATACAACTTGCCAGGACCTCAGGGACCAGGTCCGGAAGGTTTCCCCGTTCCTGGCAATTTCCGTGGGGCGATGCGAGGGGGCCGTGGAGGTGGACATTGGCGCGGTAAAAGTAATAATAACTGGGAAGGAGAACCTCAACGTGGAAGGGGAGGTCACTCACGTGGTAGCAGGAAAGCGGTTTGTATATATTTCAAAAGAAGAGGTTCATGTCGACATGGAGATAATTGTTCGTTTTTACATATTGCTCCAAATAATCCATACTAAGTAACAACTTTCCTATATAAATAGTTTTGAAAAGTGAAGTAGACCGCGGAATAATTTATACTATTTTTATAAAGAATAATATATGTATTAGTGACAAAATTGAGCATATAGCTAAGTGATACGTCTCTACACCTTATCATGGCGGCTTGAGTTAATGAAGCGTAATGGAATTGTAGAAAAGTAAATTATTATTTAAATCGAAAACGATTTATTCACTGTAAGACAAATTTGATTTTAATCAGTTACAAAATAATATTATTTTGTATAGTGTTGTTATAGTCATAAATGTTAAGTTTTGTAGAGGTAAATACTCAAAAGACTGAATGTAAATATAATAATAATAACTACTTATAAAAAAACTGTACATATACTGTAATGTAAAAGGTTTACCATTTATATGAACATGAACATATTTAATAAAAAGAGCTAGTTATCTATGTAATTTCGTTTTTCTCTAACACTACCCTTTACACTCGTAGAATCTACTATTCTATCCATAGTTGAGAAAAGAAATGATTTGAGATTGTGACAATTTTAAAAAGTTTTTAACAAATAAACAAGAATTTAAATAAAGTAAGAACTGTTAATATTTAGAATACTATTATTCTTAGCTTCAAATTCTCGTTTTTTGGTTAAAAATATTTGCACTTATTGAGTCATTTTTTAAAGTTACTTTCGCGACTATAGATACGAGTGTTAGACTACGTTCACTCGTCGTTCATTACGGGAAGTCATGTATTTCAAAATTGTCACTAGCGATGGGTGCGTGATTTTCTTGGTCAATGAAAATGAATTCATAACATAACAATAACTGGGACAAGCACTATATTAACTATATAATCATAATTAATTTTTCAATGCAGTTGCTCATAAAGCGCTATTTTTTAATCCATTGTAAACGCCGAAAGTGAGTATAAACACGTGTTAAATAAAATGTACTGAAATCCTTTACTGCATACGTGCTTATAAGTATTTTTTTTGGCCGAGCATAGACATAAAAGAAGAGGACCGGCCATACCTACGAAAAAAGCGTATATGCCTAAACTTCAAATGCAAATTCTTCGATGGCGGACTGTCATAGGGCGCGACCCATGATATCGATATTTGTATCGACATTGAAGTCATATTAAATAAAAGTTAGTATTTCGTGAAACTGCTACAACACTACTACTTATTAAATAATGTAATATAATTTTCATTGTTAGTCGCATGGCTAAACTATTACCTATTACACTTCTATTCATTTCACACTTACGTACCAATCCTATTTATGATTATTATTAATTAAATTGATAAATTCACGCCACTTTTAAGAAAATAATATTTTGTTAAAAGTGGCGTGAATTTATCAATTATTTATAAATCATTAAGCAATCTTTTGCTCGTATTTTGTTGGACGACTAAAGTTTCTTGCGTTCTTTGTTCTTGCGACTTCGTTGCGTCAGTATAGTAAATATAATCTATGTTACCAGCGTATGATGGCGCTTCCCACGGGTAAAAGATTATTCGTATTCCAAATTTCATCAAAATCCGTTCAGTAGTTTTTACATGAGAGTAACCAACATCCATCCTCACAAACTTTCACATTTATATTATTTAATAATATGATTGTACCTCGAATAATATGTTTCTTTTTCCTCTAATATAGCCAATTTTACATAGTTTTAAGAACTATAGTACCAAAATATATATCTTAAAAGTTTTACAATAATATCAATCGTGTTTTAATATTATTTCCATATATATTGTCAAGTTGACATTTTGCAATTATAATTAAATAGTTTTTTTAACATAAGTTTAATTTTGCATCCACGGGAAGTGTGACTACTGTCCAAGACAACTACCACGGTAACTATAATAAGCTTATAATGAGTCGATTGACGAATGAATTATTATGTTATTTTTTTGTCTGTTATATATTTTTTATTGCTTTGGTGGAAAGTGACATTTTGGTCCAATGAAGTCATTTTTTATTTTTCAGTACGAAATTAAACAGGGTGCAAAAGCAGCCCTTGCAGTTTCTTACCGGTTCCTTTCTTACAGTTTCTTCTTTTCTCGGTACAAGGTTTCCCGTAATAGATTGCCAAACTATAAGCACAGAGATTCGACTTTCTTATATGCTTGTAACTAGTAAGCCAACTTGTCTATAAATTTATTCAATAAATTGTTTTGACTGAATAAATTTCGCTTACTCCTCATTAAGTGAGATACCGTGCGTACTGTGTCACAATTTTAGTTCAGAACATCTTGTTTAGTAGTAAACATAGAAAACTTGAAACACCTACATAATCCTTGTTTTATATTATTTGTAAAAGAACATAAAAATACTGTAAACTTTGAAGAATAAACAAGAGAAAATAAAGAAAACAAAGTTGGTGATGAAAAAGTGATATAATTTATTAAAGAAGTAACAATTGGCATTTTATTTAAAAATTTGGTTAGCAAAAAGAAAACAGCCGATAAATCAATGGGCAAGCATACAAATATTTTCTCAGCACTGAAACAGTCTGCAATTCATGTTCTGTGAACAATCATGATAACGGTCAGCAATTTAAATACAAAAAGGTAGCGTATTTTATGATGCATCAGCAAAATAAACATCCACGCCGCAAAATAATTATTTGGGTATTAAGACTATACTATTGAACAGCAAAGAAAACCTTTGACTATGCCTTTAATTTGATAAGTGTGCATATTTTAATTTTTATTAAAATTATTTAACTCATTTTATTGTATATTTTACTGGGAGTATATTATGATCAGAATTTTATATTTTAATATTATTATATATTGCATGCTGATTTTGTTCAATTAAAATAGTCGTCATATGACCGCAAGACTAAAAATAAGGTACATTTATAGAATAACAAAATTACTATATAAAAAACTAAATAAATAAATCAGTAAAATCAAATCAAAATTAACTAAGTGTAATAGACATTTTTTTTAATTAAGTTAAAAGCAATTGTCAAATATTCTTACCAGAGTATTTGATTGGCAATGCATCATCTCGTAATTTTATTATATTTAAAGTTCGATTCAAACAACTTTCCCTAAAATGAAGTGAGCAGATAAAAGTAACTTTTTCATTACATTTAATATTTTCTGCTTCAATGTAACTCGGCCATTATCCTCTTTTGTTTCATCTTTTGGTAATCTAAAATAATTAATATATTTTTAAATATTAAAATTATCGATATAAACCATATGTTAAAGTAACAACACTAGCCATGTAAACAATATTATTTACGGACCGAAATATTATAAAAATATAAACGAAAAGTGCAATATAGCATAAATAGAACACGCCAAAATACGATATGTATCGATTTATACACGCAATCATTTTCAGAATAACTTACTTACGTTTTAAATACTGTTATTCCAAGAAAGTGTTTAATTTACCGGTGAAACGTAATATTGCTCGGTTTGCGGGATATCGATGACGCACAACCAATTACACAGCACCTAGGCATTGTTTTGCATAAATAATTTTCAATTTTCTGCCATGAAAGTTATATAAATCAAAGTTAAAAATGAAAATAACCACAAAACTTATAACACTGACAGCTGAACTTCTTCCGAGAATACGCATAGCAAATTTGCAAATGGCGGACAGGTGGTACGATAGCTATATCTCATGACGTCACGTAGAAAATTTTGAACTGTCACACTAGTGCGATCTTTGTTTACTAAAGAAACTTCTTATTAGTTAAAAAATGACAACATGATGTTTTCGATGTCAACTTCAGATTGCATGATATTTATATAACCATAGAAAATATTTCCACTCTACCTTATCTCTATGTGGCCGAGCACCAAAGAAATAAAAAAAAAATTGATGAAAATATGTCAAACTTTAGAGGCAAAAGTATTTCATGGAGCCTAGAAAAATATTTTCAAATAAAAATGTATGACATAAAAACATGTTCAAATATCACGTTTAATTTTAACAAATACTCAGTTTTATTAACCTATATATTTGTTTTATTTCCACGCAAAAAGTATTGAAAAATGTAAGAAACTTGAGCGTAAAAGGTTTTTCGAATTCGTGCCAATTATTCGTAAAACCTTACTTTCCGCACTCGTAACTTAAATAACTATTAGAAACGTTATTTATTTAGTCAAAAAAATCTTATAATTAAATCTTAAAATCGTATTTTCAACAATATTATGTACATACCGGCCAAAATCCTAACCCTTTCTTTTTGCTTCGTCGTAGTCGGGTAAAAAAGGATTGATATGTGTAAGTCATGATCACACGGGCAAAGCAGCTGACGGAAAGTTTTTTGGGCTAAATTTTCCGCCTTAGGCTCAAGCCTACTCAGCCTGCTGGTCACGTAAGAGCCATATGACAAATTTTCACTCTGTGAGATTAGGTATTTTGAAGCGTTCCGAGTTCTCGACAACTTGTCCAAGGTCACGAGTCCACAATACTGTGTTGAAACTACGTTCAAGCTATTTTGATACTTTTCCCAATTTTTGTATTTATTTTAGTATTTCTATGGTGAGATTCATTATCGATTCCCGAATATTTTAAAACGACTGCTCTCGAAAAGGAGTCTATTGTTTTTAGAATTAATCTGTGGCGACTGATACATAGCGACATCTAACGCATCGCACTAACATCGCCACAACAATCGATAGCGAGAAGACTAGCATCGTCACAGCCATCGATAGCAAGACGAACTGCAATAAGTTTCAACAGCAAGTAACGAGATGGCGCTGTACCAATACAAGCAACATAAATTAATAACTACAAGACATTTAGAACAAAGAAACCTTCATCGCACAGAATAAGTTTCATTACCAATTAACATAAATAGAACGTCCAACGTTGGACCGCGGTCCCCGGTCTAACAACACCTAGCTCGGAGGGAGAGAATTATCCTTTAGTCTCCCTGGCCAGTTGTCTCCACAGAACAAAAGTACTCTACGAGAAGAATGCAAACTTCATAGAAAAACATTTTCCATAGCAACTAGCGCCACCTATAGTCAGCCCTCCGGAACAAGTAGTATTGGCGGGAAGTTTAAATACTAACATTATACTTAGGTTTCATATTAACTACCGAATTACTAAAACCAGTGTTTTCTGTGAATATTTTTCGTATACGAAATCCATAACATACACAAATTCCACAAACGAAAAACATCCACAGGGAACACAGGTTTTAGTAATTTGGTAGTTAATCTAGGTGAAATATAGGGACTACTTCAAAAAGGGAATATAACACAAGCAGATTATAATAACACACTTTATTTTCATTATTATTGTAACATACCGCTTTATTACACAAATTAAGTGAATTTTGAACATACCGTTTGGTTTTTAACTTTAATTTAACACTGATTTACAAGCCTTCAGCATTATTTTAATGTGTGCACCAAATTATCAAGAAAATCATTTTGACACAGCATTCTACAATATGTTCCGTGTACAAT